CTCAATCTCCACCCTTCGCTCGCCGCCGAGGTCCCTCTCCCCCAGCCCTCCCACCCCACCCCCCCCCCCCCCCCACCCCCCCCCCCCCCCCCACACACACACACACACACACACACACACACACACACACACACACACACACACACACACACACACACACACACACACACACACACACACACACGCTCCCAGGGTCCGTCTCCCTGCCCCGAGCCCCCTCTGTCCCCCCCCAACCCCTTCTTGCGCTGCGCCTCCTGCCGCCTCTCCTTTTCCGCCCCTGGTATCCCGTGTTGCGCCGAGGGCGGCAGCGGCACAGAAGGTCTGCTCGCGGGCGGCCGCACGTACACCGCGCGGGTGCCCGCAGCGCTTAAACGGACAGCTACAGAGGGTGAGGAGAAGTCCGAGCAGGAGTAGGACTGAGTAGGACGAGGAGGAGAAAGAGGAGGAGGAGGACGAGGAGGAAAAGGAGGAGGAGGAGAAAGAGGAGGAGGAGGGCAGACGAGGAGGAGGGGCAGGGGAATGGGAATGAGGAGCACCGCCGCCTCTGCATGGCCTTCGCAGCGGTCCAGGCACTTCGGAGGGGGCGGGGGCCATCATCCCAGCAGATGCACCTGGCCGAGGTGCAACAACACTGTGTTTTCTCACGTTGCGGTTTTGTTATGTCGTCTGGGGTGCGGCCGAAGTAGCGTCGTTCGCAGGCGTGGAGCCGAACAAAGAATGTGTGCCAGGGGATGCCAACCTGCTGCCCGCACGACGAACGCACACTCAGCAGATTCGCGGTGGTGTGGAAGAGCAGAAAAGGATGGAAGTGAATACACCTTAGGCGATGCTTAAGAAAACTTAAGTTTTCGGCCAGAGTCTCGATTATTCTTAACGTTTCAATGTAAATCTTGAGATTTTCATGGAAACGTTGGGTGTCTATTCCAGTTCTGAGACTATGAATTTCTTAACCCATGATTTCTTAAGCATTTCGCAGGGTGTAGTCTACAACCTCCAGCATCACATCTGACTTCTACCCTCGACGCCCTGCTCCCTACGCTCTCCTCTCTCTCCGCTCGCCGCCCCGCCCCTTGCTTTCCGATCCGTAATAGATGCTCTCATCGCCCTGCTCCATGATACACCACCTTATGATGCCCACCACTCTCCACCATATACAATATTCGTCTTGGCGCAGGCCATTGGGCGAGCGAATGCACCCGTGGCGTCAGCCTCAGACCATCTATTAATTACCCTTGTTTCTCACCGTACTCTGCCTCCTGACTCGATGAATTGCCTGTTCTCCGTAACATCCCCAGTCTATATATGTGTGTGTCTCTCTTTCCTTCTCTCTTGTTTCGTTTGTGTTCCTCTCTCTTTCTGTATTTAAATATATGGATGGATCTCGCTCTCCCACAGTCGCTCTTCCCAGATACACGCGTAGCTACATGATTACGCACATGTGCAACCAGACAGTCTGCATGCATACACGTGGCGTGTTACATGTGGCGTGTTACATGTATCCATACACATACATGTATATGCATGTGTATGGGTACATGTATGTGCATACGTATGTGCACACTGGTATGGAAGTGTGCATGACCTGTACATGTAATATAAATGTGTGTATGATATGTGTACATGTGTGCGTATTTGCATCTAATTATGTATGTGCAGTATGTTGCATACAAGGATATGCACACGCATGTGCATATGTAAATGAAACTGTATGTTTTAATGATTTTCTGTTTGCACGCATGCATGCCCAGCCCTCCTCTCGCGGCCCCCTCATCGTTCTCTCTCTCTCTCTCCCTCTCCCTCCTCGATTTACCCTCACCGACTGCTGGCGTTACGGACGATGCCCCGAAGAAGGAATCATCGGCGCAAGAAGAATAACAAAAAGGCGAGTTCGCATGTGTTCGAGCCCGTCTTGGATCAGCAGCACGTTTCTGACTCTCATCCTTGCACGAATCCTTCCCTTCTTGAGACCTCCCATGAGGACCTCGCTGCGGACATTCAGTCCGGAATCGTTTCACAAGATGCGAAAGAGTTAGACGACGCGGATGTTGAATTGCTGGGCCGCCTCGCTCGTGGCGAAGCTGTGCTCGCGGAGTTGCAGCTGCAGCCGTCGCTGAGGGCACCGGTCTTGGAGGTCGCCTCTCGGCTGATGGCAACCGGTGCGAGTTCGAATGTTGCATTCCTGCCACGTGTGCAGGGCTTGGCGACTCAGCAGGAATGATGTCTACTCTGGGTGTTTTTTCTCAGTGATGGCTGGACTTAATGTTTGCCTGGCGTTTTGGTGCATTCAAATTCCTCTGCTTGCCAGTCTTTCTGGAAGCTTGTCACAGCAGCAGCCTGCAGCAAAAGAGTTGTCTCTCTTCGATTACGTTCTATGTGCATGTGTCCGCCTGTCGTGTTGTCTCGTTGTTTCTCTCGCTCTCTCTCCCTCTCCCTCTTTCTCTCTCTTTATTTAGTTATCTCTATCTCGCTCTTTGTTGTGTCTCTCTCTCACTCTTCTTTGCTCGTTTGTTTGTTCTCTTCCTCTCTCTCTCTCTCTCTTGTTCTCTCCCTCTCTCTATGTATACGTACACACACATATATATATACATATTCATACATGTATATAGTAGAGGAGGAGAACAAACTGGGGAGATATGCGACACTACACAATATACATATCAACCACCAGGGGACAGCAGTCCAGCTGAGTCTTGCACCGCCGTGCGCCTTGCCGCCACTATGGTGGTCGGCGGATCCGGAAGTACCATTTGAAGGGAGTTCCGCGGCATCCACGCCATCCAGACCCCCTGTATGTATGAATGTATGTGTGCATGTATGTATGTATGTGTGCATGTATGATGTTTTGTGTGTTCGTCTGTTCGCATGTATGCACGGATGGATATGTGTGTATGCGTCGGCACGTACGTTTGTATGTATATGTGCATGTATGTAGACATTTATATGTATGCATGCCTGTATGTATGTCGGTATTTCTGTATGCGTCTTTGTATGTGTGTATGCACGCATGCATGCATTGCATGTATATGTACATGCATATGTGTGTATGCATGCGTACGTACGTGTGCATGCACATGTACATGCAATTGTACGCAGGCATGCGTTTATGTATGCATGTGCGTCTGCCCGATAGTCTGTATGTATGTGTGTACGCATGCATACACATCGATTTCACATACAGAAGGGTACATATCAAACAAACAACAAAACAACACCAATTTACTTTGCGGCAGACGACCTTGAACAGTATTACAGATACGGTTATTAGTGTATAAGCAGCCGACGAGTTTCACGACCAATGCACATGAAATTGAGATCGCTACGAATACTAAATCACATGCGAATATGATTACATGCGCGCGCGAATACGAGTACTGGTAGCGAGTACTCATTTGAGGGAGTTTCTGTGGCGGTCACGTCATCTACTCCCGGCGCGCGAGTACGTCAGGCCCCGCCGCGCCCCCAGGGACCATCTCTGGGACGCTCGCCGGGGCGCGCCGGGCGTGTCCCAGCAGGGCTCTCGCTCGAGACGTCCTCGCAAAGTCGGCCCCCGGCGCGCGAGGAGGTCAGGCCCCAGTCGTGGCACGCAGTGGTGGTGCGCGTGCGTTTGGTCCTCGTCATCGACGTCTTTCAGGAGGGAAAGAAACACACAGACACAATTAATCGTCGATTCCCCAGAAGATATGGGAAATATTGGAAGTGGGCGGGAAGACAGAAACCCAGAAAATACAGGAAAACATGAGGGATTATTTTATTTGTGTTTGTTTATTTGTGTGTCTTTGGGCCCCTTCATTGATCCCCGCCGTCCTCTTCCCCCTGGCCCTCGCCGTCCTCGCCCCCGCCCTCGTGGCCCTCGCCCTCCCGATCACCCCCCTCCAGGCCCTCGCCCTTCTGATCTTCACCCTCATGATAATGACGCATTCTTGTCCTCCTCACCCTCGCCCTCCTGCAACGCGGTCGTGATCCCCGCCCTGCTCATGCTCGTTCTCATGATCCTGATCCTCGCTCTTCTCGTCACGCTCACTCTCCCGATCTTCGCTCTGCTGATCCTCCCTATCCTGCCCCACACTCCGTCCGACCCTCACCCTGCTGACAACCATTATCCTCATCCTCGCTCTCCTGACCCTCATTCTCCACATCCTCACCTTCCTGCTCCACGCTCACCTGATCCTCGCCCGCGTGACCCTCGCTCCCCTGACCCCCCCCCGCGAGCCTCGCCCTCCTGATCCTCGCGTTCATTCTCCTCTCGATTATGTTTCCTCTCGCCCAGAAGCGCATGTCCCTTCTCCTATATACAGAATTTCCCGATCAACCGCAGGGTGGCTGGCTAGTACGAATGTGAATGCGAACGCGACTACGGATGCAAGTAGCAGCGCTGGTATTGACTCCTGATCCGCATAGTAAATGCCAATGCTAAGTGTGATGTCACCCCTGTTCATGCGCACACGAATCCGAGAAAAACTTGAGGCCACGGGGGCTCGCGGAAGATAGCGGGATGCAGTGGGAGACAACGGGAGACAGCGGAAGACACCAGAAGGCAACGGGAGACAACGGTAACCACTATTGATACGCATGCAATCGACATGTTCATTTGAAGGAGTTTCTGATGAACTCGCGCCATCCCGACCCCCAGCGAGCGAGATCCAATCTGGCACCCTCTCGCTCGAGATGCCCTCGCAGAAATCACCCCGCGGGTTCCAGGCGCGACCCCTGGGACTCACCCGGGGCCTGCCTGGCCCTGGGTGCTTTTGTTGGTTGGCGCGTGCCCCTCGCCCCGATTGCCGCGAGATCCTGGCGACGTTGATGCGCGTCCGTGGCTTGCTTGTCGCAGCGCTTGCCGCATTGGGGCCGTGTCTTTGTCTCCCCGGAATCGCGCAGAATTGTGTTTTTTTCGCTTCGGCGCCGCGTAGCTTCTCGCAGCCTTCACCGCGCCGCATGTCGCAGCCGTCTTGCAGGTCCGCATCGGCTGCCTCACGGGGAGGGCCCGCTTACGCAAAACATAGATGCTTGTTCTGGTTCCGTCGGGCGTCAAAACATTGGCGTTCCTCTGCCCTTTCTTTCTTCGCCGCCGCCAGCGGCGCAACATCATCAAAGTGTTGCTTGCAGTTTGGGCGCCGCCAATGTTTTATGACTTTGTGTTGTTTCGGCACACGATCGCCTCGATCGCTCCTGAGCGCCCCCGCGCGATCATCGCGCAACATAAAATTCTGCAGCGCGTTGTCTCGGGGCGAAGCGACCCCATGCGGCAACAACCAAGACCATCAAATAGCGTACATGCAACGATCAAGTCGGCCTCTGCCTACGGTGGGCGCGCCCCGGGCAAGCTGCAATAGCGCTGCCGTTGCCGCCGCGGCGGATGCGCGCCGCTGCGCAACAGGATAATGATGCGAGTGCAAGAGGAGGGGGAGGGTGGGAGGTGTTCGACTTCACATATGGAGCGGCGCAGCTTGCCCCTTCCCAGTCTTTCCCTGCGTGGAACGCATGCCACTGGCAAAGCAGGCGGGGCCTATGGGGGCAGCATGAGCAAGATGAGCAGGAAGAGCAGGCTGAGCAGGAGGGAGAGGAGGAGGCGGCGGCGTTGGGGGTGCTGGTGAATGGGGGATGTGGACGGGGGATGAATTCGATGACGATGACAAAGAGAACCATGGGAATGACGAGGGCGACGGGGATGGCGGGGAGGAGAGGGGCGACGGGGGAGGACGACAGCGAGGACGCGGAGGGAGGAGGTAAGAGAGAGGAGGAGAGAACGAGAGTGTGGATGGTGATGATGTTGAGGAGGAGGAGGAGGAGGAAGAGGAGGAAGAGGAGGAAGAGGAGGAGAAGGAGGAGAAGGGATGACCTCCAGGGACGATCCTGGTCCTCACCCTCCTTGTGCTCATTATCATTATCTTGATCCTCGCTGTCCTCGTGATGCCCACTCTGCCGATCCTTACTCTGCTGATCCTCCCTTTCCTACTCCACACTCACCCGATCCTCACCCTGCTGATCTTCATTATCCTCATCCTCTCTGTCCGGACCCTCATTCTCCACATCCTCCCCTTCCTGCTCCACGCTCGCCTGATCTTCACCCGCGTGACCCTCACTCTCCTGATCCTACCCCTCGCGAGCCTCGCCCTCCTGATCCTCACCCTCCTCGTCTTCATCCGCCGCACCACCGCTTCCTGTTCTTTCACCTCGCCCACAAGCGCACGTTCCTTCTTCTGTATACAGAAACTCCCGATCAACCGCAAAGTGGTCGGATAGTACTCATATGAATCTAGTGGCCCTCGGCCCATTCCGCCAACGTGCGTTGCAGGTCAGATGCCTCCTGGATGCTTGTGAGGCTCTCTTGGGAGGCCTCTCGTAGGGTTGCCGTGGGGCGTCTTGGGGGCCTGTTCGGGTCCGATTTGGGTCTCTCGGGGCTCTTTGGGGCTCTTGGGCTGTTTTGGAGCCTGAAGGGCAGTTTTGGAAGCTCTGAAGACCGAGAAGGCGAGCATGCGAAAACCGCACGAGAAAACAATGGCTTTCGAAGATGTTGGCCTCTTGGGCCGCATTCCAGGGCTTTCAAGACGGCCCAAGAGGCGCCCAAGAGGGCTCCAGGACGGTCCCCGGGGCCATCTGAAAATATGGTGGACATGCATGTCCCGAACAATGCGTTCTTGGCCCCTCGAAAAGTCACGCGGGACCCCAAGAGCGCTCGAAAGCGCCCTGAATTCTCAGCTGCGGGGTCTTCGAAGGACATTCACGGAATTCCACACAGAGACATCAAGGGGTCTTGAGGACCTTCCTCAGATGAATACCAATGCTGAGATCAATTTACATGCGAACACTGTTTCGCTGGAGGCCACGGGAGACGAGCGGAGGCAACCAGCGGCAACTGGAGACAGGGGTCGGCGACGAAATCCGAAGCCTACCTGCGCCGAACAACGATCCAGGCAATTCGATGGGCGGCGGGGGTAGGGTTCGGGATTCGTCGAGCACGCGGCGAAATCCGAACCCTCTACCCCGCCACCCATCGATTCAGGAGAACTGATGATTGGCGGGGGTGGGGTTCGAACGTCGCCACCGAAGGGGGGGGGGACGGATTCAGTGGGAGCGGCCCCGCGAGAGAGCGGCGCTTGGCGAGCCCAGGTGCGGTCTCTCCTCCGCGGCCTGCGGGAGTCGCAGAACACGCCCGTCCTCGCGGCGCTGCTGGGCGGCCCGCCGCCCGCGACTCTGCCCTGGCATCGCTCGGACGTGTGCATGTTTTCTCGGCGAGAACCATTGAGGACGATCCTGGACCATCGAGCAAAAAAAACACGCACGAAACCGAACAATGCACTGGAAAAGGACGTCCGAGCGATGGCGAGCTGCCCGCCCGCTGCCCCCCCCACCCCGGGGGCGCGCGCTGGGGGGCGATGGATGCGGGGGCCGCAAGGGCTGCCGACCCGAAGAGGGGCCCCTAAAGGGGGCCCCTCCGGGCCCAAGAGGGGCCTCGGGGGTCCGAAGCGTGGCCCTTTCTCCCCCCCCCAATTCGTCGCCCCCCTTTGCGTGAGGCCCAACCCCCTGGCTCGTTCGCGGGAGGAGGGCTCTCGGCGGGGGGGGTTCTGTCGCCTATTCGGCCTCGGGATGCTTTCGCCGGGCCCGGGGCCCGTAAAAAAAAAACTGCCCAGGACGAAAAAACAGCTTTGGGGAGAGTGGCCACCGTTGACCTCTCCTCGGGTGGGCTCGCGTAGTTGGAGCTCCAATGCGGTTGTGCGGCGGCGGTGGTAGCGGCTCCCCCTTCGCGTCTGCGGTAGTGCTTGCCGCCCTGGTCGCGCAGTGTATCACCCGAGATGCTGCTGCACCGCCTCTAGGCTTCGTGTCCGTCTAACGCCCCCTGCTCATACTACTGCTTCCTCTCTCTGCCTCCTCTGCCTCATCCTCCTCCTACTCCTCCTTTTCCTCCTCCGCCTCCCTCTCCTCCTCCTCCTCCTCCTCCTCCTCCTCCTCCTCCTCCTCCTCCTCCTCCTCCTCCTCTTGCCCACTCCTCCTCCTCCTCCTCGTCCTTCTCTCTGAACTACAGTGCAGGGACCAGCTCGTGCGAGAAGGCGGCAACGGCCAGCGGAAACGCTTCAGCTGCAGTCGTGCACAGTCCAGCTCGGGGACGGCCCGAGTGTTTGCGCATGGTCTCGGTCAAGCAGGTCGCGTGCGGTTTGTCGACAGTTCATCCCATTCACATCCGCTCTGATTATCGTCCTCCTCGCCTTCCCCCTCTTCTTCCTCCTCCACACGCCGGTGGCATCGGTCAACGCACAGTTACATCACCATGAAGCCGTCGCTCGCTCACTGATGGGTTTCAGCGACAGGCGGGCACAACGGCACAGCAAGACCACAGCAGCGCCCTCGCGCGGCGGCTCTCGCCCGTGTCCGCCGACGAGAGCAGGACCATTGGGACTGCTAGCTGTGCACAGGAAGGACAACACCACGGGTGCGACCATGGCGGTGGATCATGGGCGGCATCGGCAAGTCCAGGCGGGCGCGCGTGCCAAGTTCGTTTGCGCATTGCCGCCTGATGGTATTCCTCAGGCTCAGGGTACCCAGGTAGCCAACCAGTGTTGTTATTTACCTGAACGAGCGGAATTGTGTTACCATTGCCTACTCCAGAGTTGTAATGTCATGCTGTTGTTTGCTGCGACAGCTACAATACTTCGTATCGCTCGCCAAGGACGGCGGCCAAGATCGCACGGATCAGATGACAGGCAAGCTATTCGTGGTCAGGTGTCGCATGGACGTCCCAGTCAACGCTCGGAGCTGCCAGCGGGTGTTCAGCACGAACTATGGTAGAGGGAAGCAATTATTGAACACTCCCCTCCCCCCCAAACTCAAAGTTGGCACGCGCGGGGGAGGCTGCGGTCGAGGTGCAACTCATCAGACCCACCGCCAACTGTGAACATTGGGGGGAGGGGGAGGCGTTGGCAGGTGTGGCATGAGTGTTCGCTATTTTTTCCGAGGCCTATATGCTACCCTTCTCGCAGAAGTGCGCATTTCTCTGGAGTGGCCGACTCGCGCGGGCTCGGGGTCGACGGCTCCAGGGAGGCTCTGAGGGCGGCCTCGTTGTGGATCTCTGGCGACGCGTGGGAGCTGCTGGCAGGAAAGCGCAGGGGGGGCGAAAAACGCGGTGGAGTTCGCCCCGAAAGCATCCAAGCTCACGCAGCTTTCGGGCGAGGGTTCATCGTACGTCACAAGCGACGGTGGCTCTCTGGAGGGGATGGCACGACGTCGCGGGGGACTAGAATCCAGAGGTCTCCTGGTGGGGGGGTGGAAGGCCCCGCTGTGGAGGGCCAGGGGGGAGATTCTATAGGCTTACGCCACATCCGCCGACCCCTGTATAAACTATTGCGCCTCCAGGACTGCATTTCACGAGGCTTGTCCGAATCATGACACGGTGCTCAGCATCGTTCCTGTTGCTTCGTTGCTGTTACCGTACCTCTTGGTGCTCTTTTGTGGCCTTGTGGTGGCATCTTGGCCTGTCTGCAGGCCAGATCCGGTCGCCTCGAGGCATCTTGGGCCAAGTTTTGGGGCCTCTTGGTTCTCTTGGGGGTCCCTCAGGGCCTCTTGGGCTGTTCTTGGGGCAGGCCGGGGGCGCCTCTGGACTCCGTCTTGGAGCCGTCTGGGGGCCCTCTTGGGCTGTCTTGGGGGCTTCGTAGGCTGTTGTTGGACCCTCTTCGACCCTTCTTGGGAGCCCCTTTGGGCGTCTGGGCGCGATATTGAAGGTTTCTTTGCCCGTCTGGGACGTTGTGAAAACCGAATAGGCGAGCGTGCGAAAAATATTGTTTTTTGAAGGGAATGGGACGATTTCTGTTTATTGGGACCCTCTTGGGGCGTCTTGGCAGCTTCGGAGGCCGCCTGGAGGCCATCGTGGGCGTCTAGGGGCGATATTTCGGCGAATCGTGGCCCCTGGGACCGTCTGGGGAGCGTTGTGGTGCCCTCTTGGCCAGCTTTGGAGCCCTCCGCTCCCCCGTGGTGCGTTCGGTCCGGGGTCGCGCTCGGCCCGGGGGGGGTCGAATTGCCGGTTTGGGGTCCCATCGGGGGGGGGATTATGGGGGGGGTAATCTCACACGCCTCGAGACCCGCAAGGGGTCGGCGGATGACGGGAAGCGCCTCCGGCGTGCACCGTTGGTTCAGGGGCTTAATTTTCTCTAACTAACTAAGGGGTACCGATCGCATCCCGCACCTCGCTGGGGGGGGGTTATGGGCGTGGATAATCTCACACGCCTGGAGACCCACAAGGGGTCGGCGGATTCACAAAGGGGAGCAGGGCGTCGTGTATTTTCGAGGGATCCTTGACACTCGGGCACCGCGCAGTCCCCTCCTGTTCGCACAAGCGTTCCAGTTTTGACGTTCCCATGTGATGCCACACCTGCAACGAACGTTCGAACATTCGCTTCCCGTTCTTGTCAGGTCAGGTTCACAAAGGGGAGCAGGGTGCAGCTGCGGCTTCCGTTGTGCTGCAGACAGCGCAGTGCGACGATGCGCGGCCTGGAGATCCCACGGGGTGGCATGCGGAATTTCAGAAGTGCCCATTGTCATTCTCTTATCGCATCACTACACACGTCCGTATCGACCCCGCAAGCCTGGTTCGGGGTGTTCCTGGCTTGCCTGGCGACTCTGTGAATCGCATGGCGGATGAGGTGGAGTGGATCGTGTGGTGGTCGGCAGTCTGTCTCGAGGTATCTCTCTCGATCCCACAAAAGCCCCTCCTGCCAGGCGGTCGACTGTCGCCGCGGGCCCTGCTGAGGGCCGAGGCCGCGGGAGAGCTGCTCCCGGAGGCGCAGCGCAGGCCAGCTGCCAGGGCCAGAGCATCCCAGACCCCCGACGTCATGATAACCCCGTAACTTATCCCCCTCCTCTTCCTCCTCATCCTCCTCCCTCCTCCTCCCTCCTCTTCCTCCTCCTCCTCTTCCTCCTCCTCCTCTTTCTCCTCCTCCTCCTCCTCCTCCTCCTCCTGCTCCACCTCCTCCTATTCCTATTATTCCTCCTCCTCCTCCTCCCCGGGACCGGGTTTTCATTCCGAGTCGGTTTCTGACGGGCCGGAGGCCTGGTAGGGGGCCCCCCGATGCCGAAAAGAGCGAGAACCTTCCCGCCGTGGCTCTGTCATGACTCGAGGGGGTCTGGGATTGGGGGGCGAGGTGGCAGAGGCCGAAAGGGACTTGGCATCGCTCGGACGTGTGCATTTTTTCTTCGGCGAGGACAATTGAGGAGCATCCTTGGTCATTTGGCGAAAAAACCACGCACGATACCCCCCCCCCAAAAAAAACAGGGAATGGACGTCCGAGCGATGGCGAGGGTCTCGACCCACTCCCCGGGACTGGGCTTTCATTCCGAGTCGGTTTCTGGCGGGCCGGAGGCCTTGTACCGACTGGACGTAAGAGTGACCTTTCGCTGGAGTGACCTTTGGTGCGGGCGCAGATGGGTCCCCAGATGGCTGAAAACGAGGCAGGAACAGCGGCTTGCGCGCCCAGGATTGCTCCCCCCGCGGCCCCCAAAAAGACGCGCACCAAAGGTCACTCTTACCCAGGGTCACTCTTGCGTGTAGCCGATTGTGGGGGCCCCCCGATGCCGAAAAGAGCAAGAACCCTCCCGCCGTGACTCTTTCATGACTCGAGGGGGTCTGGGATTGGGGGGGCGCGGTGCAAGAGGCCGAGAGGGAGCACGGAGGAGAGGAGAGACGGGCGCGGGCGGTGGGCGACAGGGGACAGGGCGGGCGGATTTGGCATCGCTCGGACGTGTGCATTTTCTCTCGGCGAGGACCATCGAGGAGCATCCCTGATCATTCAATGAAAAAACCACGCACGAAACAAAAGAAAACACAGGGAATGGACGTCCGAGCGATGGCCAGCGGGCGTGCGGGAGGCCTTGGGCGGACCGCGTGGGGGGCGCCCAGAGGCCCCGTGGGCCCCTGGGAGCCCTCTCGGAGGCCCCGTGGGCTCCCGGCCCGGGGTGCTCTCCGGAAGGCCTCGCGGGGAGTGCGCCGGGGGAGGCCTCGTGGGCCCTCAGAGAGGGCAGGGGAGAAGTGCGGGCGGAGGGGGGCAGGGGGAGTTCGACGCAGCTGCTTGGGCTCTGGCACGCCTCTCCTCGATGGGCGCGTGCCTTTCCCTGCAGCATCGCAGGATCCTCCCTCTCTCCTCCGCCTCATGCTCCTCATACTTTCACTCGTTCTTTCCTTTTTATTCTCTCTCTCTCTCTCTCTTGCTCACTCTTCCCCGGTGGGCAGGAGATTGGGTGGTGTGCCGCCTTCCTCTCCCCCCGAACCCCGCCGCTTTTGTGCCTTCCCTGTCCCTCCCCTTTGCCCTTCTCGTTGGCTGAGGCCTGCGGGACGCGACCAGCCCTTGGACCTCCGATGCCTCCAGTGGCGGGCGCTAGGCGCCCGAACGCACCTGGCTTCAGGCCGCTCGCTCATCTCATCACCTCCTCCTCCTGCTCCTCCTACTCCTCCTCCTACTCCTACTCCTACTACTACTCCTCATCAACCTCCTCCTCCTCCTCCTCCTCCTCCTCCTCCTCCTCCTCCTCCTCCTCCTCCTCCTCCCCCTCCCTGGGAATTCAGAAATACCTGCTCTCAACGACCGGCGGGTATCGAATCTGACTTCGTCGTTGCTCCTCCTCCTCCTCCTCTCCTCCTCCTCCTCCTCCTCCTCCTTCTCCTCCTCCTCCTCCTCCTCCCTCCCTCCCCCTCCCTCCTCCTCCTCCTCCTCCTCCTCCTCCTCCTCCTCCTCTCCTCCTCCTCCTCCTCCTCCTCCTCCTCCTCCTCCTCCTCCTCCTCCTCCTCCTCCTCCTCCTCCTTTTTTTCTTCCTCCTCCTCCTCCTCCTCTTCCTCCTCCTCCGCCTCCTCCGCCTCCTCCGCCTCCTCCGCCTTCTGCGCCTCCTCCGCCTCCTCCGCCTCCGCCGTTTACTCCGCCTCCTCCTCCTCCTCCTCCTCCTCATCCTCATCCTCATCATCATCATCATCATCATCATCCCTCCTGCTCCTCCTCCTCCTCCTCCTCCCCATCCTCCGTGTCGGTGGATCGAGTTTCGGCCGCGCACGCCAGACAGCGTCCAGCCGATGCTGTTGTTGCTTCCGATCTGATTGTTTCCAAAGAGTTGTCGGCACGCAGTTGGCGCGCCTCCAGATCGGGTTTGCTACTTCCTCGCGCTGGATGTGCGTGTGTGGTCCATGCATGCGTGCATCTGTTCGCGCATTCGGTAAAACAGGGATCCTTAAAAGGGCCCCGCTGTCATCCCCACCTCCCATGGCCGATGGCCGACGAGGCGCCAGCTTGAGGCGAAGGCGCAGGCCGCAGAGCGGAAGGCCCGCGAGGCCGCGGCGGAGCGAGCGGGCAGCAAGCTGCCGTTCCCCCCCAGCCGCGCGCGAACCCCTCCCCCCGTGCCACGGTCGATGCCTGGCGACGGGCGCCAGGGGTCGGGGAGCCCAGTCAGAGGAGGAGAAGGTACTGACTCTGCTACCCCTCCGTCGTCACCACGGCTGGATTCGCCTCGGAATCCGGTTCAGAACGCACCCACGGAGACGTCTGGGGAGTAGCGGCGTACGCATCTTTTGTTAGTTTCTTCACCCACGGCGCACGGCGGTGGCAAGTCCAAGGCTTCGTGTTCGGTGGGCAGGGGGGGCGAGCATGAGAACGGGGTTGAGATGAGGAGGAGGCGGCGGAGGAGGGGGACGAGGAGGACCAGTATAAACCCAAGGCTCATCACCGATGTTGCAATAGAGCCTCCCTTCAGGTTCCCTCTTCATGGGTCCCTGTGAGAACTTATTTTCAACTTATTCCCCACATCCTAAGTGGGGTTCTTGTTTTCTCTGGGCACCCCACGCAGTCCTGTCACACACCCTCTCTCCCTCGTCACCACTCACCCTCAGTCACTCCTTCACTCATCATCTTCATCAATCACACACTCACTTACACTCACACTCACTCAACCACACGCTCAAACACTCACGTCTTATCGTCACCATAATCATCATCACACACTCACTCATTCACTCACTCACCATCATCATTCACTCACTCATCATTTCGTCATCACTCACCCCCTGGCATGACAATGGAGGATGTCTCAGGCGGGAGCCTCGTCTGTGAGTGAATTGCGAGGAAGTCTCAGGCGGGAGCCCCCTCCCTAAGGGGCCCGCACTTGATGTTCGAATCCGAGGCGGGTCATCGGCATCCTGTAACTGTCGTCTTTTTTGGGCTCCTCAGGCCTGAATAAACAGGAAGTATCAGGCGGGAGCCTCGTCTGTGAGTGAATTGCGAGGAAGTCTCAGGCGGGAACTCCCTCCCTAAGGGGTCTGCATTTGATGTTCGAATCCGAGACGGGTCATCGGCATCCTATAACTGTCGTCACCCTTGGGCTCCTCAGGCCTGAATATGGAGGAAGTATCAGGCGGGAGCCTCGTCTGTGGTTGAATTGTGATGAAGTCTCAGGCGGGAGCCCCCTCCCTAAAGGGACCGCGCTTCATGTTTGAATCCGGGCCGGGTCATCGGCATCCTATAACTGTCGTCATGTTTGGGCTCCTCAGGCTTGTATATGGAGGATGTCTCAGGCGGGAGCCTCGTCTGTGAGTGAATTGCGAGGAAGTCTCAGGCGGGAGCCCCCTCCCTAAGGGGCCCGCACTTGATGTTCGAATCCGAGGCGGGTCATCGGCATCCTATAACTGCCGTCTTTTCTGGGCTCCTCAAGCCTGAACATGGAGGAAGTATCAGGCGGGAGCCTCGTCTGTGAGTGAATTGTGAGGAAGTCTCAGGCGGGAGCTCCCTCGTCCTCACCGTCGTCGTCGATGTCGGGTCGGCGTTTTGATTCTGGCGTCTGGGAGCCGTTCAGGGGTCCCGGGGCCGTCGGAGCTGTCCCAAAGGCTTCGCGAACTAGCGCGCGGTGGCCGAGGCGGCGACGGCGCCGAGGGACATCGATTTGCTTGCCCCGACCAGGGGGGAGGGGGGAGCACATGGAGAAAAAGTAGGGGAAGGATAACGACGGGGAAGGGATTGGAAGAGGGCGACGATGATGAGGAGGTGGAGAAGGAGACGGAGGAGGAGAAATAGAAGGAGGAGGGGAAGAATAGAAGGAGGAGGAGGAGGAAGAGGAGGAGGAGGAGGGCGAGCAGAGGGCGAGAGGAGGGTGTCTGCCAGTGCGAAGAGAAAAGGGCTAAGGGCAAGCTGAACAGATTCTCATGCGGGGTCCTTCCGCCGGAGTAATTTTCACTGCGGGAAGTGCCCCATTGAAACATAACCGTCTGATGGTTGACATGTTTGCCGAAACACGCTTCCTGGGACTTCAACGCCGCGAATGAACGTACCCGTTGCGTCCGGAAAATCCTCGTTCGGGCCAGAATTCCTTTCCTGGGACTTCAACACCGCGAAGGCGCGTGACTGTTGCGTCCTGATAATCCTAAGAGCCGCGCCAGAACACCATGCTTGGAACCCTACGAATCCGTGAAATTTCTGCCAACGTTTAAGACGAATGCCGAGCAGATGCGCGACGCCGAGCAGAACGACGGATCGCAGCATAACGACTACTACATCAACGTATGCGCAGCAATGCAGGAATCAGCAGCACGACGATACACAGCATAGTGGACGCCAGCGGCACGCTGCTGATCAGCACGACGGAGTGCGGTATATCGGTTCGTGCTCCCATGCTTGCGTGGCACGACGGTCACCACCAGCACGACGATGAGCACTGCGGCGGGCTGCTGCACTACGACGGGCTCCAGCGTGCGTTTAGGCTGGTGTGTTCGACTGAGGTTCCTCCCACTTGGGCAACCTTCAGCTGTGCGACTCTGACGGGCGCAACGGACCGCAGTATAGTGGTTCTCTCTTCCCTTGTCGCGCCGTGCTGCGGTCACCAGCAGCACAACGATGACCAACACGACGAGCTCCAGCTGTGCAACGCTGTCGACCGCGACGGAGTGCAGCACAGCGACTCCTACATCGACTTGCGCATCGCACGTCGCCAGCATGACGGGCACCATGCGCAGCCAGAATGAGTTCAGCATACCGACTCCTACGCAGTACGACGGTCACCAGCAGCACGACGACGAGCAGCACGACGAGCTCCAGCAGTACATTTGTGAGCAGCACGGGTTCTAGCAGCGCGAGGGTCACCAGATGTGTGACGATGAAGAGCACGACGGGTTCCAGCAGTTCCGCGCTGAACAGCGCGATGGGGTGCTACGAATGACTCCTATATCCACGTCTGTCTAGCGCTACGGTTACCAGCAGTACGACGATAAGCAGCACTTTTGGTTACAGATGTCCCGTGTTGACCAGCGCAGAGGAGCACAGCACACATACGGCGTGACAGTCCCAACGATCGCCGTATGGACAGGATGTTCTCCGACACCTACTCCGTGCAGCCCCAGTGCGGCCAGGCAATCGCGCAGCCGCGTAGCCGCCGTCGCTTCCGCAACGGGGGGCATTCACCTAAGCAGCCCCAGTCGCGGCTGCCGCTGCAGCCCATGCAGCCTCAGGCAGCCTCAGGACGGCTGGGGCTCTCCAAATGGGCCTTTGGGGGCTGCATGTCTGATCTGTGTGTTCGGGGTCCTCTCTGGTGGGACGGGCGCTAGTATTTCCAATGTTCCGCTTACAGGTTCCTGACAGGATTTGCCCTCAGGACCCGCGAGGGATCGCCAACACGACGAGGGGCCGTACGACGGCTACCGATGCGCCAGCCCTCGTGTTCCTCACGCAGCATGTGATGAAGGCCACCCAGCCTGTCGCGTGCCCGGGCGACGAGGCTCTGAGCGGGCTTCGCCTCCTCCTCCTGCGCTTCCCTCCCTCCCTCCCTCCTTCTCCGTGTGCTTCGACCGTGTCGCGTGAGCTCCTCGCCGATGAGGGAGCGGCCTCCCGTGCGCGTGAGGAGGGAGGTCTCCCCGTGTGGGGGCGGAGGGCGCCCCGTGTTGCGATGAGCCAGCACTCTCGTGCGAGGCAGTCCTCTCGAGCGGGTCCGCTTCTCTTCTCCATGGTTTCAGGCCTCCCTTCCCCGGACATCCGGCTGCTCAAATTTTTTTCGATGAGTGGCTCCGGAGGTCCGGACCACTTCCCCGGGACCGGTTTCTCGTCTTGAATTGTCGTTTGACGCTCCCGAGGCCCGGCGAGGGCCCCCGAAGGCCGAAAACTGCCCAAATCCCGCCGCTCCAATTTTTTGGGAGCGTCGGATCTCAGGGTCCCTCCTTCACCCCCGCCTTTTGCTACACGCTGCGCCTGCCGAAAGACTCCCCCGCTCCTTATGCAGTGTGTCGTGGTGTTTGCCCGTGGTCCAGGGCAGCCGGGCTCGGCCGCTCGGGGTCGTGCCCCGGACGTCCTTGACAGGCGCGAGCCCTTGCGCCACAGTTGGTTGACAGGTTCCCGCCCCTCCTCTTTCTCTTCCTCCTCCCTCCTCCTCCCTCCTCCTCCCTCCTCCTCCCTCCCTCCTCCTCCCTCCCTCCTCCTACCTCCTCCTCCTACGCCTCCGCCCTCCTCCTTTTCCTCCTCCTCCTCCTCCTCCTCCTCCTCCTCCTCCTCCTCCTCCTCCTCTCCGTCCTGCCCCTCCTCTCCGTCCTGCCTCCCTTTCCCCTTCTAGGGGGACCGAACAACGACACAAACATAAAAACTCTGAGGTCCGCGCGGATTTCGTGGGTCCGCGCGGACCTCCGAGTTTTTCTGTTTGTGCCATCGTTCGTTCCCCTAGTCCTGCCTCCCTTTCCTCTTCCTCCGCGTCTCTTCTAATTGTGCGCGCGGGCAGCGCGTGCGGGCGTGGCTCACGGACGCGGTCTGACCGACCCCTCGGGCCGCTCTTGCCGCCCGGGGCGCGCCATCTCGCCCCGTGGGCTCGGCCCTCCGATGCTGCGGGGCACTGTCGTGCCTCATCAATTCAGTTGTATCGTTTACAGTTTAGATTGGCGGGTGCTTGCGCCCATCTCTGCATATACCGGCCGGCAGGCGTGCTAGCACTGCGCCCTTTTGCCCCGTGGTTTCGTCCCTCCTCCTCTTGCTCCCGCCCCCCGTGCGATATAAACCAGGGCTGTGTTCTTTTGTTTCGATCTTCCGCAAGACCGTATGGTCTTCAAGTTGTTCGGTGCATTGTGCGCTGTCCTTACGCCTGTTGTGGTGTGATTCCTGTTTCTATGAATGGTCGATTGGACCGCTTGGGATGCACGCACTGCGCTACTGTCTGTCCCTCTCGCCTCGCTCGTGTCCTTTCCTCCTCCTATCCTCCTCCTCCTCCTCCTCCTCCTCCTCCTCCTCCTCCTCCTCCTCCTCCTGCCACTGCTGCTGCTCCTCCTCCTCCTCCTCCTCCGCCGCCTCCTCCTCCTCTTCCTCCCTGTCCTCTGCTGATTTCCCCGTTGCGGCGCGCTAGGAATTAGGGGTATGTTCCTACGAGTTGCTTCGTACTGTGCTGTGGCTCCTTGATTGCTTCTGTGTGTGTGCCAGGGTATATGACTGATCGGTCGGATCGTCAGGGGATGCACGCACAGCATGTTCATACATATGGATTGGCAACGCTGTCTCTGTTTCGCGCTCTGTTTGCACTTGGCTCGCGGTGCGAACGGCACGAGCACGAACTACAGGGCCAACACCGCGTACCATGCGGATGCTTGCGTGGGTGAAAAAATAAACGTTTCAGACGAATGCGCGCGGCGTTAGGGCGAGAGGCACATTTTGAGAAAAGAACCGCCGTTCATCCTAGAAGCTGGTGCAATAAGAGGAATGTGCGCGGCGCCCAGGCGAGGGCCGCATTTCGAAAGCCATGTGCCCTCCGTCCTTGAATCTGCACGACGCACGTACGCGTCAATAAGAGCGACAACAACATTTTTAGAACGGCCCGCCTTCCATCCTCGAAGCTGTCCAGCTCAAGCTTCAGGATCATAGATCGTGTGGAAGTGTCAAGGCGCAACGCCCGGCCCGCCCTACCCGCACGCCTGGGGGTGCGACATGGAGGAGTGACTGATAAGACAAGGAATCGAGGAGGAGGAGGAGGAGGAGGAGGAGGAGAAGGAACAGGGGAAGGAGAAGAGTGGGAATGGGCAGAATGAGTAGGAGGATGTGCATGTGGTACCACCAGGAGGAGAAAGCAGGCTGAAGAAGAACAAGAAACGAAAAGGGAAGCGATGAAGACATGGTGGGTTGAAAAACAAGTGTCCATGGCAAAATCGAGCACGATCATCCCCTGTAGACGCGAGTGGTATTATTTTTCATGCTGACACGTGCATGCGAAGCCCCCGAAGGCCAAGCAGAAGTTGCCAATGGAATCGAAGTACGCATTCTCGCTCTCACAATGGAGAGGATATTTGCGGCTGTACTGCAACGAAACGTGGAATAATGTTAGAGCCAGCAGCATCCTGCGCACAATCATCCCAGGCCCACGAGGTTGCATGCGGATGGCGGCGTTCCCCCCGTATGGGCGGGGCTCAGTTCTAGCGTACTGTACCGCATGCATGTATGTCTGTTCATGCCGTCCTCCACTCCTTTGCCTGCGGCGGGTTGCCATCACTCTTCCACTGAATTGCTGCGAAGTGGCACAGCTGACGGAGGAGGAGGAGGAGGAGGAGGAGGAGGAGGAGGAGGAGGAGGAGGAGGAGGAGGAGCAGTGGCAGCAGGGAGGAGGAGGAGGAGGAGGAGGAGGAGGAGGAGGAGGAGGAGGAGGAGGAGGAGGACGAGGTGGAGGAGGAGGAGGAGGATAGGAGGAGGATAGGAGGAGGAGGAGGAGGGGAAGGACGACGGCGACGAAGATCAGAGGGGCGAGCACTGGAACCGAGGGCAGAAGGAGGCCGACGGCGCAGAGGAGAGGGCCGAGGACGGGGGTGGGGACCATCCCTGCTGCCACCCCTGGCCGTGGCATCGCTCGGACGTGTGCACTTCTGCTTGGCATCGCTCGGACGTGTGCATTTTTCCTTCGGCGGGGACCATCGAGGAGCATCCTCGATCATTTCGCGAAAAAGGCACGCACGAAACCTAAAGCACAGGAAATGAACGTCCGAGCGATGGCCAGTCTGGTCGGCGGGGGCCATCGAGGAGCACCTTCTCAGACCCCCTCGCGTTGTGAACAAATCGCGACGGGAGGTTTTTCGCTACAGTCGGGGCCCTGAAGAAGGATCCCTTTTCGTTGGGGAGGGGCTCCGTGTTCCTTAATTGTTTCGCAGCTTGCCTTAGATTTTCCTCAGGTTTTCGATGCGAAATCGAAGTTTAATTTATGGAAAATTCGGGCCTCGTTCCTTATTTAGGGTTCCTTAGGTCAACGCCCCGACTGTACTTCTGGCCTCCGGGGGGCCCTTGCTCGGCCCGAGGCGTCTAAAAAACCACTCAGGGTGAAAAACCAGTGCCGAGGAAGGGGTCCAGACCTCTGGGGGTCGGCGTTCTGAAAAGATCACGACGTCGGAGGTCTGGCTGGGGTCATCTTGCGGAACAATTGCGCGCACGGTGCCGACAAGTGCATGGGGAAAGGACGTCCGAGCGACGGCAAGATGCCGAGCTGGCCGGGCTCAGAGTGGCAGGCGCGAGGGAGCGCAGACGCCCAGAGCGTCTCCCAAACGGGGGAGCGCCACGTGGGCAAAGACTGGCGCACGGCAGGCCCACTTCTGTGCCGGGGCGGGGACGAGGAAGAGCTGCCTCCCCAGGCAAGCGACGTCCTGGCTCCAAGAGGCGGGGGTCGGAGCTTGCAGGAGGATCCTGCAGTGCCAGGGGTGCACTGGCCCGGGCTCGGGCGCAGGCTCCTGCGATGTCTTGCAGGACCTTGCAGGATCCTACATGGCCTGACTGACCCGGGGTTGCACCGACCCGGGTCAGTGCGTCCCCGATTTCTGTTCAACACGGGGTCCCAGGAAGCCCCGATGTTTCTCCAGGGCCAGTTCTGCATCCTGGGTCGTTTCTTGACGGCCCCAGGGCCTGTCGAGGGCCCCGAGAGGCCGAAGCGTATCGAAAACGTCCCGTCGTGATTTATTTCGCGGCGCGAGCATGTCAGTGTCTGGGAGCCGGGTGTCAACCCTTGGACGGGATGCATTCTGGCCCGAGCTCAAGGCGCGCACCGCTGTGGCGACGAGGAGCCCCCTAGAGGCCCGAAAGGGGCGGGCAGAAACCGCAGCGCGATCCTCGATCCTCGAGCCTGTCTGGGCCTGCAGGTTCGCCAGGACTTGGCATCGCTCGGACGTATGCATTTTTCTTTCGGCGAGGACCATCGAGGAGCATCCTTGATTTATCATTTGGCGAAAAAAACACGCACGAAACCGAAAAAAACACAGGGAATGGACGTCCGAGCGATGGCCAGAGGAGGGGGCGGCGGGCGGGCGGCGGAGCGGAGCGGGGCGAGGCGGGGCGGAGCGGCCGCGGCAGGTTCGCCTCCGACAAGATCCGCTGCCCGGCCTGCGAGGCCGCCGCGGCCGCCAGCCGCCGCCTCGGCTCGGCAGCAGGCAGCCCAGCTCGGGCGGCGTGGATCCCCAGGAAGATATGGGAAAATATGGGAAGTGGGGGGGAATACAAAAACCCAGAAAATATGGGGAGTATTTTTATTTGTGTGTATTTATTTGTGTGTTCTGGGGGCCCTTCAGTGGAGGGGAGCGGCCCTCTGAGGTCTCAGGCTTCCCAGCTGGGGGCCGAGCAGGGAGGTGCAGCGGCGGTGCGGCCCGATGCGGAGCCCAATTTTCTCCACGCCGACGGTGACGATGCATCGCCGACGTCGCCGATGCATCGGCGATGCATTGGCGATGCGGCGTGATCATCCGACCCCATCTACTCGGACCTCATCTGCGAGGCCTCTACTGAGGGGGAGCTGGGCATTCTCTCCGTATCTACAACCACGGACTGCGTCGGGAATGCGCCCGGATCTCATTTCGGATCTTCTTCCCCAGAATCAGGTTGGCTCCCGGCTTGCCCAGCACCTTCTCGTCGCGCGTGGGTCCGCCGAGAAGGTGTCAGAGCCCAAGAGGCGGCCCTCAGACAGCAGGTCCCAGAAAACTACAGGGGGATCGAGGATCGAGGATTGAGGATCGGAGTGGGTATTCTAGACGAGGACCGAGGATCGAGGAACTAGGAGGCCCTCAGGGCCCTCAGGGGGGCCCTTCGAGGATCGGAATGGGTGCCTTTGACGCTTCGCGTACCCCCACCAGCCCATGCAGAAACGATGCCCAGGCGAGGTGCCCGAATCAGGGATGTGGAGGAGCATGAAATGGAAAAAAGGGCGGGAGAAGCGGTCGTACCCCAAGAGGGGGAGGATGGAGTAGGAATCAGGAGGAGGAGGAGAAGGGCGAGCAGAAAGGCCAGAGGCCTCTTGGATGCCTCTCTGAGTCTCTTCGGATGTGTCTTGATAGCTTCTTGGAGTTCTCTTGGGGCGCCTTGGGGGCATATGGGCGGCCCCGGGGTGCCTCTTGGAGCGTCTTGGGTGCCTGGGGGCAGCCCGAAGAGTCGGGGATCCCTTGTGAGCCTCTTGGGGCCATCCTGGAGGAGATCGATCAAAGAAGGAGGGGTGCTAAATTTTCGCCGCCCCATCTAGAGCCCGAGCAATCGACTATTGGACCCCTCTTGGAGCGGCTCGGGCTCCACTTGGGGCTCTCTTGGGCCTTGCTGGAGCCATCTTGAGGCCTGGGGGAGCCGTTGAAAGCGGAAAGGCCAGAAGGCAAATACACATGGATTGTCTTTAGGTGCTTGAAGGTTGTTGGCTTCTGGATAGCTTCCCTGGGAACCTCCGTGGCCACTTGGGGCCGTCTTGGGGGCGTTCTTGAGGCGCATTGGAGCATTTGGGAAGCCGTTGTGAGCCATGTCGGAGGTAATCTTCGGCTCTCAGAGGCCTTCCTGGAACTTGGCATCGCTCGGACGTGTGCATTTTTCCTTCGGCGGAGACCATCGAGGAGCATCCTTGATGATTTGGCGAAAAAAAAAAACACGAAACAGAAAAAAACACAGGGAATGGACGTCCGAGCGATGCCCAGGGAACCATATTGGACCATCTTGGGCGCTCCAACGCGTCGCCGCCCCTCCCTTCCAGACCCAGGGAGGGGGTAGGGGGAGGGGTCCAGACACCCACCCGCCCGGAAGCCGTCTGGCTCACTCCCACCCGCCCTCCCTACACATAAGTTGACATGAGTAACACCCGAGCCTGAGCATGCTCAGCGGTCGTCGTTGGATGGACAGCTACTGGGACCGAAGCCGACCCCAGGAGCGCGACGTTTGGGCGAGGTGCGCCACGCGTACCAGGGGCGCCACGCGCGCCAGGCACCCCTGGGGCCCGAGCGTGCCAGGCACGCCTGGTGCGCCAGATGCGCCACGTGCTCCGAGTGCGCCAGGTGTGCCGCACACTCCAGCCGCGCCAGGTGCGCCGCGTCCGGGGCACATGCAGAGTGCGTCAGGTGCGCATGCGCACGTGACAGCACACATGATTCAAGACTTCGCCCCAAAGTATACTTTGCATTGCTTTCGACAGGGATGGTTGGGGGGTGCCGCATTTGGTTGGCCGCGCATGCCCCAAATGAGCAGGCAGAGTACGGCATGCATTGTTTTGACAGGGATGGTGGGGGGCGGGTCGTCATGGTGTCGGCATGGTGCTTGGTTGGCCCCCGGTCGCTTGGGGGAGGGGGAGTATATTAGTAAGGAACAGTGATCAAGCTACCCACCCGCCCCAAGCCGTCTGGCTCACTCCCACCCGCCCTCCCTACACATAAGTAACGCCCGAGCCTGAGCATGTTCAGCGGTCGTCTTTGGATGGACAGCTACTGGGAGCCGAAGCCGACCCCAGGTGCGCGACGTTTGGGCGAGGTGCGCCACGCGTGCCAGGGGCGCCACGCGTGCCAGGCACCCCTGGGACCCGAGCGTGCCAGGCACGCTTGGTGCGCCAGATGCGCCACGCTCCGAGTGCGCCAGGTGTGCCGCACACTCCAGCCGCGCCAGGTGCGCCGCGTTCGGGGCACGTGCAGAGTGCGTCAGGTGCGCCTGCGCACGTGACAGCACACATCGAGAAACATATCGGCCCCCGCCATCCCTGTCGGAAACCGATGCCCATTATTGTGCCTGCTGGGCCTGCGCACAGCAGTCCACGCGCCACCACCACCCCCGTCGTCCTTGTCAAGAACCGCCGCTTCACAGTGATCGCGGGATGTCCGCGCATGATCCAGATTTAGCAGTGAGGTGCACGTTGTATTGTTTTTTTTGTCAGGGATGGTAGCCCTGCGCGCAGCAGCGAATATGCTGATACCCCCGCCGCCCTTGTCAAAAACAATGCGAAGTGCTCGCGGTCCTCATGAACATGACTAAAGACTTTGCCCCAACGTGTACTTTGCATTGTGTTTCACAGGGATGGTTGGGGGGGCGCATCGGCTTGGCCGCGCATGCTCCACATGTGGAGGCAGAGTGCGGCTTGTATTGTTCTTGACAGGGATGGTGGGGGCGTCTCGTGACGGCGTCGGCATGGTGCCTGGTTGGCCCCCGGTCGCTTGGGGGAACGGGGTGTACATTCGTAAGGAACAGTGATCAAGCTACCCACCCGCCCGCAAGCCGTCTGGCTCACTCCCGCCCGCCCTCCCTACACATAAGCATCGCCCGAGCCTGAGCATGTTCAGCGGGCGTCGTTGGATGGACAGCTACTGCGAACCAAAGCCAGCCGACCCCAGGTGCGCGACGTTTGGGCGAGGAGCGCCACGCGTGCCAGGGGCGCCACACGTGCCAGGCACCCCTGGGACCCGAGCGTGCCAGGCACGCTTGGTGCACCAGATGCGCCACGTGCTCCGAGTGCGCCAGGTGTGCGGCACGGTTCAGCCGTGCCAGGTGCGCCGCGTTTGGGGCACGTGCACAGTGTGTCAGGTGCGCTTGTACACGTGACAGCACACATCGAGAAACATGTCGGCCCCTGCCATCCTTGTCGAAAACCGATGCCCATCAGTGTGTCTGCTGGGCCCGCGCACAGCAGTCCACGCGCCACCACCCCCGCCGTCCCTGTCAAAAGCCACTTCACAGTGATCGCGGGATGGCCGCGCACGATGCAGATTTAGCCGCGACGTGCATGTTGTATTGTTTTTGTCAGTTGTCAGGGATGGTAACCCTGCGCGCAGCAGTGGAATATGCTGACACCCCCGCCGTCCTTGTAAGGAACAATACGAAGCGCTCGCGGTCCTCACGAACATTGTTCAAGACTTTGCCACAAAGTGTACTTTGCATTATTTTTGAAAGGGATGGTTGGGGGGGCCGCATCGGGTTGGCCGCGCATGCTCCAAATGTGGAGGCAGAGTGCGGCTTGTATTGTTTTTGACAGGGATGGTGGGGGGCGGGTCGTCCTGGCGTCGGCATGGTGCCTGGTTGGCCCCCGGTCGCTTGGGGGAAGGGGGTGTATATTCGTAAGGAACAGTGATCAAGCTACCCACCCGCCCGCAAGCCGCCAGTCTCACTCCCACCCGCCCTCCCTGCAAATAAGTAACACCCGAGCCTGAACATGTTCAGCGGGCGTCTTTGGATGGACAGCTACTGAGAGCCAAAGCCGACGCCAGGGCGCTACGCGTGCCAGGCACCCCTGGGGCACGAGCGTGCCAGGCACGCCTGGTGCGCCTGATGCGCCACGTGCTCCGAGTGCGCCAGGCGCGCCGCGCACTCCAGCCGCGCCAGGTGCGCCGCGTTCGGGGCACGCGCAGAGTGCGTCTGATAGGGATGGTGGGGGGCGGGTCGCTTGGGGGAGGGGGTGTATATTAATAAGGAACTACTATTAAGGGACAGTGAACAAGCTACCCACCCGCCCGCAAGCCGTCTGGCTCACTCCCACCCGCCATTCCCCCACACATAAGTAACACCCGAACCTGAGCATGTTCAGCGGTCGTTGTTGGATGGACAGCTATTGGGAGCCAAAGCCGACCCCAGGTGCGCGAAGTTTGGGCGAGGTGCGCCATGCGTGCCATGGGCGCCACGCGTGCCAGGCACCCCTGGGGCCCGAGCGTGTCAGGCGCGCATGATGCGCCACGTGCTCCGAGAGCGCCAGGTGTGCCGCGCACTCCAGCCGCGCCAGGTGCGCCGCGTTCGGGGTACGTGCAGAGTGCGTCAGGTGCTCCTGCGCACGTGACAGCACACATCGAGAAACATGTCGGCCTCCGCCATCCTTCTCGAAATCCGATGCACATCATTGTGTCAGCTGGGCCTGCGCACAGCAGGCCACGCGCCACCACCCCCGCCGTCCCTACCAAAAACCACTTCGCAGTTCATCGCGGGATGGCCCCGCCGCCCATGTCAAAAACATACGAAGTGCTCGCGGGCCTCACGAACATGACTGCAGACTTGGCCTCAAAGTGTACTTTTCATTTTTGTTAGTGACAGGGATGGTTGGGGGGGCCGCATCGGGCTGGCCGCGCATGCTCCAGATGTGGAGGCAGAGTGCGACTTGTATTGTTTTTGACAGGGATG